TTGCATTGTGCATTTTTCCCTTTATATTGGCGTACCCAAATTGACCACTAGTTTGCGTGGTGCTGTTTTTTTTTCAAGTTTCATGCCCTCTCCTCAGTGCAAGTTGCAAGAAGATGATTACTCAACATAATCCGTTGATAAAAAAGAGACCAAGTAAAATAAGCCAAAACGACACGACTAAAGGCTTTTGTTCTGCATGAAACAAAATGACGTCCCGAACGACCGTCAGAGCAGAACGACTTTCCTCGTCACTCAAACGGGTAGATGAACATTGTCGTACTCGAAACACTACGTTCTGGTCTGCACATTTCTACCATTTAGAGTACCATCAATCAAGACAGCGGACAACTGAGCTCGGTCATTAAAAGAATCTGAGATACCTGCTCGAAAGAAGATGTTTGGTTAATGTGAAACACCAAGGACCAATTGTTTAAACGATGTCTCTCACATAATCCAGAAAACCAAAACCATCATAAATAGCATCTCATACCGGTAAACTCAAACGGATTATGCACTTCGACTTACTAAACCGCCTGGTGGAGGGACAAAAGTACTTCGGTGTAGCGTCACGTCTTTAGAAATCACGAATGGGTAGTTCCGGTTCACTAGACAGGAAAGCAAACATCGCATATGCGCAGTCTCTAAAAACTGAAGGTTCTCAAACGCAATAGTAAACAAACGCCGCAAAGCAGTTCCACAATTTCTATAATAAACTCCACCTTTCATCAGATGCGTGGGTGAAGCTTGGACGCCAACGCATAGACTACTCACGTACCTCATCAGTAGTACAAACAGTTGAACTAGCAATCAGCAGAGGACAGAGGTAATGAAGCTACATGACTGGGAGAATTGGCATTTTTAATATCGCTAATAGATATATATTATGGTCCAGTCATTATTACTTGCCAGGCAACCGACAAATGATCAGCTGAACCTAAATTACACCGTATGCTTTTAACTGGCACCACTGGTGGGTCAAACTTCATCACCCCATAAGTAGGACCGATTAATAATTTTACATCAGAAGTCGCTCGCTTATCCGTCAGAAATCACAGTAATGCAATCTTTTAAGCAAAACTTCGCCATTGGTTTCAGACATATGATTTGCATTAGTCTTTCATGAAGCCACACAGGATATAACAATCATTGACCTTGAAAGGGATCCATCGTTCCGTAAACTACTCTGACGGTTGGAACAGAAATCGCATGGTACAGAACACTAGTTACGCCCTCTTCTGTTTCATTCTCTAATTTCAGTGCTGATTAGACAGCGATTAGACGATTCCAGGTGCTGCTGTGTGCAAACCCCAAACCGTTATGTGTATCTTGTGTGATAGCCCACCAAAGTAGGCCAATTTGACAAGCTAATTCGAAAACGCCCACTGATCTACACTGTGTACACTTCGGGATGGACATACGACGCAACATTTCAAGGTGATGATAGCACATGATCTAATAGAGGTTGGCGTTACTATTGTGAAAACGGTACAAGATTGGGGAAATTTCACACATTGATTTTATTGTGTCACATGTACATAAATGTCAGTTCATAGGGCCAACTGAACTAAAATTAATTTTAGAATAACACACAATGATTGAAAATAGGAAAACTGAGGTTGTCAACGTGATTCTAAACTTCCCTTTACTCATTTTGTTCATTGCTCACTTAATTTGTGCAAAGTAATTCAAAAGCTATGTGGCTGGTTCACCCAACTGAGATGTAGAACCCTCACGTGACAATATACGTGTGGAAAGTTGCGAAAGTTTCCACATTTCGTTTTCCGAAATCAGGACCAGTTGATGCATCCTAAACTTCCGGATGAAATATATCGGTTCTCTTACCGACTAAATCAACGGATAAACCTACATTGTGTTACTCCAAATCCATTCTGTCTCCTAGTTCCATTCACGTGAGTGTGGATAAACGAGAGAAGCAGCCTGATATTACCGTTTCACGTGAGTGATGGCGGAAGACCACATAGTATAGACCGTCCTGCATCGATGAGAGTTGCGTGGATGCACGTCAAAGGTTCCGTCATCGGACAACTGTGTGAATGGTGTAGGTTCCTAATTTTTGCTATGTGGAAAACCAGGAGGCAGCTGCACACCATGTGGAATGGTGAATCCGTAGATGGAATTAGGAGATAAACAAAGCTCGAATTATTGAAAACTTCGCAGAGAATAGTGGAAGGACCTATCTCAGAAGGATGGTTGATGTTATGATTAAATTGGTCTGTTTTCCATAGTAGATGAACTCCAACATTGACCCCAGGACAGTCGACTTTCTAGACGTGGGCGATTTATATCCGGTGTATCATCTATCACGTTGACAATGAAATTCCTCATGTTTATTCTATCCTCATTTGTAAACCCCACCCCACTTTTGTGTTTTGTGTGTATATATGAACTGACGTTTGTGCGTCCTTACCACTTCACCCATTTGGCCTTGAGGTCATCCGGCCATTTGTAGCCGACTTTGCACGTGTGACTGTCGCACGTTGGAGCCTGTTTGCTCCCTTGCTTTGCACTTTTGAAGTCCAAGCGGACTGTTTGTTTTGGACGCATAATTCGCATAATTTGCGAATTTTCTTACACTAATTGTACCGCATAGAAACCCAGCTCCGACTTTGTTTTGCCTGCCCGGAGGTTCTGGTTTTACGCGTCACTCAAAGATACCGCTCGCCCGTTATATCCGGCGCTCACAAACTCGCATGGTATTGCATGGTTGTGCGGAGTAAGGGGTGAAAAAGTGGATGTAGCATTGCCGTAATCATAGAGTAGTATAATGATATTGATGAACTACAAAATAAAATACTGTGTGTATCACACTCTCTGAAACGATGGCCACTCAAACGGTCCAGAACATAATCTAATCGATTGGAATATAATCTGCTTGTGTTCCAGGGAATCAGATGAGAAGCAAGACAGAGAATGGATAATTTAGATGGCCTGCTGTTTTGTATTTGTGAATAGTACTAGATAAAGCCCTCCCAGGAATAACCACAGGAAAAAAATTTCGTCACATAACCAGTTTCAATCAGACTAAGTTTCTCTATAACCAGAATTAAAATTCCGTCACATTGTTGATTGCATATGCAAAGTTTCCGCAAACTTCTGAATCTATAAAACTCTAGAAAGTGAATCTGGTGGGTTTATTTCATGGGGGCGATTACGAGACTATCATTTTCTTGCTGAATTCGGTGAAGATATCAAGCGGCATCGATCTTATACACGGAGGAATGTTTCGTTCATCAAGTCGCCCTTAGTTCCGACAAATGCCACTCGCGAAAAATAGTGAAAGACAGGAAGAAAAAAATTATAATCGCTGTGCGAGCAAGTGGCAACGTACTATCTCAGAATTTCATATTATTCCTAACGTGCAACAAAATTAATGTGACAGTATTATCTTCCTCATTTATACAACCTGCAACATAACGAACGTGCAAATATGAAGACTGCACTCAACACCACGAATATTTCCCCCATGATGAAAGCTGAAGACAACCACAGATTTACGAAAGCATGAATTCTGTATAGATGCTTTCACTTCCGATAGAGAATTACCGTCAAAATGGAACATGATTATCTTTCCCAAGTACCCCATTTAAGCAGCCGTTTCCCACCACAGGATATCGAGGATCGTTATTCATTCCCCCAAGGATATTTGTGGCACAGATACAGAAGAGTATTTTGAACAACCACTTGTGTTCACTCAGCTCTATACATTCTGCCGTATATCTAGATAAGGCTTAATTTTTCTGTCGTTCACAGGAAGCTAACTACCCTGGATATGTAATACTTTATTTGGAAGAGATGCCGAAGGAGCCATGAAGGTTCAAAAAAGTTTCAACAACTATAGCATACGAGATCGTATTCTGCAAAATGATAGGCTGTCTGAAATAGATTAATCACTATGGTATTGATGTTAGCACAACGGCTTTTCTGTGCTCCTTATTTACGTCATACCATATTTGAACCTGCCATTATCGTAAACGACCAGACCTAGGAAGTAACTTTCATTTGACCCTTCACAGCGTACTTTGACGGAGTCTGCTCTTACAGAGAGGAACCAGAACCTAGATCAGATCTCCTTCAGCCTTTATTTTGAAGTAGCTCCCGGAGAAGAGCCCGGTATACAACCGTATCCCATTCAGAACGACCAACGTTCAAGAGGGCTATCTTAGATTGCCGGTTCTCAAATGGCCTCCCGTGAGCAGGAAATTATCATTGGATTTCGCTGCCTTCAGGGGCATGGTAACAACTATGAGAGATCCGATTATGATAAAAACTAACAAGGGGTTTGACGGATGGTCCGTATACATGGGAGAATGTTTGGATATGTGTTCTCTGAACACCTTTGGGCCACACTACTTTCATACTTTTGGGCAGATTTTCAGGCGTCTAATTACTGTGTGGATACGTAAAATTTCAGTATAAGTATTTTGAATTCCTGTCTTTGCGATGGCAGAAAATTCTAAGTTGTCTCATACGATGTGCCAGCACTGACTTAATTTTAATAAAGCTGTTTCATTTGCGAAGAAACCTTTCTTCATAGAGCGTATATAGAGTGGTGTGCTAGTATAGGACCATTGGCGATATTTGTCCGTGATTTTGGAGCAATTTTTAATGAAACCGCGGAAAGTAAAGCAAAAACGTTTTACTCTCACGAATGTGACTTGTTCATGCTCATTACATTCTCTTAAAATTAAGAACAAACCTGTAGATTTGGCGTTACTTGGTGACAGCCAAGGACATTCATTAAAATTTCAAACACATGCTATGTCCTCTGGATTGATGGTTATTCAGAATAGCCTGAACGACTTGCGATTTACATACTCCAAAATTTACACTTTCTACTTCAACCTTTGGTGGATAAGTCGTTGTTTTAGCGTATGCGTTGTATAGATTGACAGAGTATAAATACGCGTGATCGAAGGAACATGATCGTTCGAGTTCACTAGAGATGCCCATTCTACTCCTTATCTTCCTTGTCGTTGCAGCAGCCGTTGAGGAGGTTAGAGGTAAGCTTTATCGAGTGTACAATTCGAATTATCAGGTACCACTGCAGAAGATGATGCAGATTTTCATACTCAGCCGAACTTTCACATTTCCTATCTCTGGGTTGTAGAAATGTCTTAATTCCACGTGTGTAGCCACCATTATGGAGGAAACGCTCAAAAACACATTGTGTGGTGTAACAGCAAGATGACACATTTCGACTTTCCTGATGAGTGAAAGTTATTTTTAGGTGATTTGTTTGCGAAATGTCAGACGGATTCGTGCATGTGTAAGGATGCCTGTAGTTTATTACACTAAATATGTATTTAAGCCGTCAGTATCACCAACCTTTTTACAGCCTCCATCCTAGATGATGATTTTCAGTCAACCTATGGATAGATTGAATTGGCTTGCATTCCAAAAGCACCAACAACACCAATAGCCGTATCAAATATGTAACTCTGGTGATCGAGAAGACATTAGGCTGGTCGAATGATTGTAAGAGACGGACGAATACTGGCAACTTGTGACAACAGTAAAATATTACTTTATACACGATCACAAATATTGAACAATTGACTGAGCTCAACTAATGCAACCGTTATCACACCGCCCAACTGTCGAATTGGCTGGCACATATCAGTCACATAGGGGTGATTAAATGTGACTCACGAATCCTGTGGATGACCCGCCTAGTCTTGGATTCACTGTAGTTTGAAGTAGAGGCAATGTCCTCATCCTAGTCATTGATCAAGATGCTAATACGATGTGGTACGGTCTCAAGAGTTTAAACGACACCCCTTTTTTAATGTTAGTTGGATACAGCACGCAAAGACGTTACAGTCGAATATCAAGCGGTGTAGATTCAGATCTCTTGAGCTATACTTACTGCTCACATACCAAACATTGGGTAGTGCAATAATACAGTCTGTAGTCATTCGAGTGACGCCTGACCTTGCAAGGATAATACCAATAAGATATTCATCCATCTTCAAACTTTGTTGACCCGCTGGGCAGAAAAGTGAGATGAATGAGCCCCAATAAGTCCTTCTTAATTTCCTCTGCGCTAAGTTTCAAACGACGGCAGCTCTTCATATCACTGTAGTATATCTTGATATTTTGCTTTAACCAATGACTTTGGCCCTGGATATTTTATTATATATCTGAGGAGAATTTAGTGGTATTTTAAGAACCAGTTTGTTGTCGCCATTTACTGGTAACGTCATGCTTGCTGGGAATAATCTGTTCTATCAACCCTCATTATCCAAATATATCTTTTTTTTGTCAGATATATGTAGACTCCCACCAGTCTACGGTAACGGAAACAGTCACATCGCACAATTTTTCTTCAACGCGTAACTTCATGCTTACTTAGAACAATCTGTTCTATCCATCTTCGTCTTCTAATTATATCTTTTTTTGTCAGATATATGTAGACTCCCACCAGACTACGGTAACGGAAACAGTCACATCGCACAATTTTTCTTCAACGCCTCAACCGGGTCGTGCGAGGCGTTTATTTATAGTGGCTGTGGTGGGAACGCGAACAGGTTTACCACTTTCCGAGCGTGTGAACAGAAATGCCTCAGGTAGTACCCATTACCACTTGGAGACACCTCTTCTTTCTTCAAAACAAATGCATTCCGTGGAATTTTCAAAGACGCTTTCTTGTTTATGATGACTGGGTTAAACATGAAACGTGAGGAATCATTTGCGACAAGGCAGTCAGTACTCGAAGCCGACAATTGCAGACTTTCCGTGTTGCGCAGATGTTGTATGACCACATACCTTTGGTTGCGAATATTATCAGGACCCTCCACAAATTTTCGATCTTACGACTAATGGTAATTCACCGTGACTTTCTAGCTGGCAGTTCTAAACCACATAAACTAGAAGAAGTGTATAGCCTCATTTCGTCCGAAGATAGAAACGAAATTAACCTATAAGAATATGTACTGACAATAAACATTGACCCTATTGCTGTTATTTCAGACGCTTCACGTTTAACAGAAGTATGATTGGTATTTTCCTCAGCAGTTACGACAAAGCTATTGCCTGATGCGAATCATTTTTCTCCACGGAGGCCAAGCTTCACAACCGGCCCAAGTAGTTGATGTCACCAACACTGTGTAGATCATTGGCAGTGTTCTGTCTGCTATAGGATGCGTAGAACATCATTCATTCTGCTGCACTTGGCAAGCCCATTTGGGTTATCGTCGCAGATCGTACTGCTAACGACTGTGATAAGGATTTACGCCTAATTGCTACGAAGTGTGATCAGTATATTGCAAATATTCGAAGGAGAAAAATCTTCAACGTATTTTGAATATCAGACCTGGTGAAACGTTAACATTACGGAAAACTGGACACTCAGGAAACCGTTCGATCCCCCGGAGTATTTCATGTCTAGAGGTTCTGATAAAGATACAGCACTATGTAAAGATGTCCTTAACTGGTGAATTAGAAATGATGGGTTGGATGATTCAGCTTGTTCCACAAGCCCCAGTTTGCCATGTCTAAGCACTCACAGCGTGTGCGACAGGCAAAATTTCCTTGCGAATCGGGCTAAAATAATAGCGTCGATTTATGACTACAGTGTGAATCCGATTTCATCCTAGCCAGTGCTTACCATCAATATATGACATTCCGCAGCATTTCTGTCTGGAAAAGTTTGTTTTCGTCTGGAAAGGATATCATTATTAAATCCTCAGTGATTTAGAGCCCGGTGTAACCGATCGCGGTATGCGAGATATCACAGATAGGATTTCTACCCGTACGGTAGTGATGAATCGGTGTTGAACACTGATGTTATGTTATCGATGATGATGATGATGTCTTCGCATACATGCTGTCCATAACCGTCGTTTATTTCTCACAAATTTAAAACTGTCAGGGTGGTCCAGATCCACGTTCAACAAAACTAACAGTGTCAGAGTAACAGGAAGTTCTCCACGTTCTCAATGACCAACCACAGCAGATGCGAGAAAAAAGAGAACCGAAGGCCGATGACGTATCTCGATTAATCGAACTGTCAGAGACAAGCAATACCACGCATGAAAGCGGAAAACAATTAGACTGGAAAAAGCTCAAAAATTCAAAAGAACAGGATTTTCCGGATTGGAGATTCAGTTATACTACTTTGCCAACACGGTATAGTGATTTGTCACATTGCGGGGATTTATACAACGAGTTCTGAAAAAGGCCCCAAACCGTTCATCTACGGTAGGTATTCGTCGTCGAATGGTCCGCATGATATGAGATTCCCTACAGTGAGGGATTCTGTGTGAAAATTCAATTCCAGCTTCTATAAAAAACTCCGTACAAGGATTCGTTAAGGCACTCCGCAATACCGTCCATTAGTTGGGACGATGGCACTTAGATAATTTTGCATACTGAGCAAAGACGCGTGTTAGTTGTTAAGTGTGGAACTGCATCCTGGTTGCAATGAGAAAGATGTAAACGTCTCCCGATTCATATTAACAGCATAAGCAAACCAGTAAAAAGACCCTCCTCTCCTGCATCAAGTAACATATCTACACAACAAGACCGCATCTACTACATAGGATCATAGAATCGCCTGAACCGGATGCTAGGTTTAGAGACTCGGATTAAAGGAAGAAGGGCAGCGCTAAAGATCAAAACTCGAGCGAAACACGTAAGAACTGATCACTGTGCTATTCATCCGCGCGTGGCCGAAAAGATGAGTGTTCAAGTACTGGTCTGAAAGAACCGGGTCCGAAACTCTCCGAGTTTCGTGAGATGTGTACTGTTGCTGATTCCCATTTGTGAAAAAATGTTGTAAGCACGTTCTAGGCTTTATGGAAAGGTAAAAATCAAAATGCAATTGATGCACCGAATGCACCGTTGGGCAAAAAGGGACAAGGACGCAGTGCGAATATACGAAATTGTGGCCGTCATCAGAAGACAGCACCAAATGTCCATAATTACACAGAGATCCAGAATTCACAAAGTCACTTTAGAAAACGTGGAGATTCTTACATGTTCATGTCTGTAACGGGGAGAGAGGAATTGTGGAGAACAAATTCACTCATTCGATACGGGGAATTGAACCCAATTCACAGACTTGCTAGTAACCAATCCACACAGTGCAACAGAATGCCAGTGAAAAGTAGAAACCCTTCGATGCGAAACCATTTATTAGAAAACATCAACTGATTAGTTACAGACTATTGGATGGGGAAGCAAAACTCCTATATGCATCTTGTTCATAAAAACTGAGCATTTTTCTGCTTCTCGAACGCGTCTTCCCAAACAATCCTGGATAATCATTGACTATCACTCAAATGTAAACGAATGCTACGAAGCATTTCACCACGTCCGTAATAAATATCACTCTTCGATAGACGCGGAGTGGATTTTAAAGGTCATTCGCATGCCACCGATTATCATTCACCTCCGTTAGGTTGACCCCAGCAGCTGGTCTATTTGGCCGCTCTACGGGTGTATCATGCCAGTTACGTAGCTGAGTCGCACTTACTCTTTTTGATCCACACCGTCTTGAACTGTATAGATGTTCTCCCGGTGATGACAGACGGACTTTGCCATCGACCGCCCAGCTTCCACGACCCCAGTCCACTCCTACCAGGATTCTGATGACCTTCACGCCTATGAGGAATGGTCGCGCATTCATGCATGACGTTTTCTACCAAGTCCTCTCGTCAACGGCGGTCAAGTCTTCTCAAGCTTTTCTAACTTCTTTCTTTAGCTCCTCCGGGGACAAGCACATAACAGGCCAAAACCCAATTTCCTGGTCAAACGGAAGGCGCGGATGTTGACAGTACATCAGCATGAACGAAGACTTACCTGTGGTTGACTGCATGGAAGCACGATGAGCTAGTAACATCATTGGCAGGTTGACTTCCCAATCACCTCCTTTGGCCGCCAGCCACTCCTTGATCGTTCGGTTATTATTTCGACACCTCCAGTCCCCTGATTTTGGACTGCAGGGATACCACGATCACTGGTGTCTGTACATCTCTACGACCCTGGGCAGTTTGAGGGTCCATTGCTGATCCAGCATCCACGCTTTGACAAGCTCAAAAGCTTCATGTGCTTCTCGGATCCATTCAGATTTCCGATTTCGACCTAGCAAGTCATACAGTGGAGCAGCAATCTCGTTGAAATCCTTGATAAACTTGCTGTAGTATGTTGCTCATCCAAGAAACTGCTGTAGAGACCGTTTTGAATTGAGAACAGCACAGTTCTCTATCTTTACCAATTTTTCCGGCAGTGGGCTAACTTTTCCGTGAACCACTTTATGCCCCAGTAGTGTCACCGAACTCCGAGCGAGCTGTGTCATGGATTCATTTATCCGCAGTTCACTCTCTCGGATGCGCTTCAATACGGTCTTCAAGTGAGCTGCGTGCTCTGGTTCCAAATTGCTGTACACAGCGATATTGTCTCCGTACACGGCAACATTCTGGTGCCCTTTCGTCAGACGAAGCATCCAGCGCCAGAATGTAAATGGTCCTACACACAACCCAACGGCATCCGTCTGAATTGATATTGGGTATCGCCAACCGTGAATACCGTTTTCCCCTGGTCGTTTGCCTTCGTTGGCAGTTGCCATAATCCGGAACGCAAGACGAACACAGTGAAATATCGGGAATGCTGGAGGGACTCGAAAATCTCCGCAACCGAAGGGACGGCTATCACCCGACTTACGGTGAGCTCATTCAAACGCCGGAATTCCATGCAAAACCTGTCTTTTCCGTTCGCCTTCCTTTCAAGCACTATTGGCTTCCTCGATTATGCCATTTTTAACATCTTTCAGATTTGTTTATGTACCTCCCTTCGTAGATGGAGCGGCAACGGACGGAGGCCTTAAGGTAGAAAGCATCCGGACGAGAGTGGAATTTCGTATTCAGTCCGCGGACAGAAGCTAGATAGATCTTCATCGCCGGTAAAAAGTTCATAATATTCCTCGAGCACGGGTTGTACAAGTGATCGGGTACGAGGGCACTGATTCTTCCAATGGTCAGGCATGCCACATCTTCAGCATCGGGTCCTTGAAGACCTCCAGGTAGGTCCGAACATCCCCATCCTCAAAGGGTTGTGGCCATTCCCCATTCTTATCCTGGACACGGCACCAAATGAAGGGAAGAAGGTCTTCGATGCGGAGTTATTCATTAGAAAACATCAACTGATGAGTTATAGACTACTGGACGGGAAAGCAAAACTTCCATATGCATCTTGTTTATAAAAACTGGGCATTTGTCTGCTTCTCGAATGCGTCTTCTCAAACATTCCTGGATAATCATTGACTATCACGCAAATGTAAACAAATGCTACGAATGAATTCCATGAATCCCGTAATAAAGCTCACTTTCAATAGCCTCGAAGCGTATTTACGAGAAACAACATGCTACTCACATGCTTCATCAGTAGTATCAACCCTTACACCAGTAGGACTCATTATTTAGCAAGATCATACGTGATCCAATGGATAAAAGTTCCCCAGGCAGGGATAAGAGTGATCAACGGCAAATTTCGTTGATTAGGCAACAGACAATCAATTTAGGCCATCCCAATAGAGTCATGACTGAAAAATACCTGTTTACTGGAAACTACAAATATGTTGGTGACATAATACTGACTGGCTATACGCGTTATATTCAGAATCTATGTTTTACTTAATGTTTGCTATCATCATTGATATCCAGGGTCACAATGAATGGTCTGCTGCTGCTGCTCTTGCGAAATTCTCACGCCATTATTTGAGTTACCGTCAATGAACGTCAATTCACCTCTAAATACGTGGTGAATCATTGCATCTGGAGATTATAGCAACAAAACTTTTGATAAATCAATAGTGGAATTCTTACACACGTTGGGCATTGATTTATTTGCGCTTCAATGAAGCTGCAAACAACGCCACTTCTATTGCCAGTTGACCTATTTGTCTCTGTTGCCCGCGATTCCAATTACTGATAATCGCGGAAAAGTAAACCCAGAATGTCCGTGTGATGAGGACGGCCTGTTTTCTGTTTCTGTGCGCGCCATTTCGGCTTGGTTACCTGGTTCCTCTGGTCTGCTGGACCGGAATCACTGAGGGGGGAATATAAGCAGTCACCAGTGTTGCCTTTCTTTCCAGTGCCATAATGAGTTACTGTTGCATCTAGTCCCACCAGGTGAACGGCAAGTGCTCCCTCTCACCTTGACTGACTCCCTGATGTGCTTCATTTCAGTCCAAAGGCCCGTGTATATAGAGCCCGCTAGTGTGAATTAAACTGCCTCCATAATACGCACTTACCAAGTATCTATTACTTCTGTGTTTTTCTACAATTCATCTGGTGCGGATGGAGTCTGATTTATCAGGCTGGTTTGCTTCTAAAGGTCTCTGAGTGATTTTCATGAAATTACGGAGTATTCTTAACCTAGCAGGAATGCAAATTTTAGTTTATCAAGTAAATTCAGTGTATCGGCATAGTGTACACGGACCCTAAGTATACGTATCCTATTATTTCCCTGTGACTTTATTGATCTTGATATGGGAAAGCCTAAATTGAGCCTAAAATACCTCTTCGATTCAACACTACCTGAAAAGCGGTAGACGTAAACAGATATAAGAAAATTATTTTACCAAGTGATATGGGGCCAACCCACTTCTTCCGAAATCCGTAGACGTCCAAAACATAACGTCTTTAAAAACCTCAAACTTTCCGTTTCCCGAGGTTTTGCACGTTGACAAGGTCTGGTGAACAATGAACAGTGCATAGGAACTCTAAGTAAAATAATTACGAGCCAAATTACTGAGGCATCCGGGTTATCGACAGGTGAAGCCTTTGTGTCTACCGTGCACACCCAAGAAGAAGAAGATTCACCCGGTAACATTATCTTGGTGAGATTTTTGTGCATCAGTGTATGATACCAACCGAAAACTGTGACTGACTCGCTGAGTGCCGATATCAACACAAATAGGACTTTAATTTCCGTGTGAAATCATTTCTGTGCTGTGATCCAAAATAAATTTTGATACTCGACTTATAATCATACATGTTATCAGGTACTTGATATCCGCATACTTAAATGCAAGTGATATCACTCGGATCGAGTCTCCATAAAACGAGCATCGTTGATGAAAAGGGCAAGTTAGCGTCCAAAAAATCAATGAGCAGTGGTGATTGACATTAGATCTAATATCTGAGATTCCTTCGCCGTAAAACCCTTCTACAGGTGCGAATCTCAGCTCTATGTTCTTCAGTTCTCGCTGCGGAAACCTGGACACAGGAGATAATTGTGTCTCCAATATAATTTTCAATTGTCTTTACTACTCACGGACTTTGAGTAACTGCTTGAAATCCCTTGTGCGGTGAGGCTTGTAGCTGATGGTCCACTGTTCCAGTAGCCGCTTCATACGCAACCTTGAACTCAGCGCCTCCCCACCTGCTGCGACTGTCTACAACCGCATCACTGTTCAGTAAATTTTGAGTAAGAATGTTTTTTTCAGTCTAACTCCATTTTCAATATAACTTTCATTGAAGCACTGTTAAAATCTTGATGCTATGCACACAGTAAGGCACAAAATTTGCAGCCTGGACCCACATTATACCTTCTTTGAGTAAGCTAACTTGTTCGTAGTCGCATTTCGTGTGTAGTCCCTCACGCATTTCGGGTGACAAATTAAAGCCTAACGCGGTTCTGTTTAAGAAACCACCCCACAAAGACACCTATATTTCAAAGTCACGTGGGCTTTTAAAAAATTAGGATGCATTCTACCTAGATGCGGTTTCATGTACAATGTTGCAAAAACTCACCGACGGTTCACTACGCGTCTTCCCGTTCCTGTGGCACATCAGGTAGACCAATTCCTTAAATCAATGCCAAACTTATTTCCCACGTAGACACCAGATTATACGTCAGTGGTTTGCGTGTTAAGAGAGCTGAGCTGAGGGATCATCCGAATAACAATGGAATCACTAATATACGAAATCCTTCAACAGCCCGCGACTGAATCATGAGACGGCCTGTGTGCAGCACATTGAAGAACATCATAAACGGGAGATTCACTTGAGTTTCCCGTGAAAACAAAATTGATTTTCAAATGAGTGTAGTTGCCGAAATCGATCCAAGTTGGGTTCAATTAAAACATAAGATTGACGGAAACTCGGGACTGCGCCCACCTGATGAGTCCCAGGAAGGGTAAAACCGGTTGTGGGGTGTTGAAAGGTTTTCAGCAACCTTGTAAATAGTTTCCTTTATTTCAAATTATAATTTCAAAACCGTGGATCTCTTCTTCCTCTATGTCGGAACCTAACCAAACAGTCTTGACAGCTGAACGCATCTGAACAAACATTTTATTCCACTTATCATTCCAAAAGGCCTGTGTCTCCACTGGCTTTAGGTGATCATTACGAAATCAGCATCATACAAGTTTTGTTGCGGACCGCAGCGTATTCGCCGAATCGGACTTAGTATGTAGCTAATGTAGAGAGTGCCACGTGCGGTGAATAACACCACCGTTGTAGCTTTGGGGCAACGCTCCCTGAAGTCAAATATGCCTTTTGCATTTCATACGCGGCTATTTATGGGACCAGCGAAACATGCTACCTAGAGATTTACACCCTCTAAGGATGCACACTAGATCGAAGTTACTAATAAAATTCGTTGGACAGTTGAACGCAGGACCAAAAGGGCGGTTGGTGCATTAAGAAATAAGTCTAATACGTAGCGTGCATCATCACTAAACAACTAAGTAGGGCGACTGGCTCTACATTCTGAAAGACAAATTATTCATCGACTTGTCATTTTTAGTGACTGCTTGATACCTAGCTGGACTTTATACGAAAGTTGTAACTTCCCATGACGACGAAAAATTCAGCTGTGAAACCTCAACATGTTGAAGATGGCAGTCAAGGGACAGCAACGCCTGGGCTTGAAGGGAACTGATCCATGCTGATTGATTTCACGGAAATGTGCGGCCTATGACGAAAAAGTATAAAAACTGGCATCGACATTCAGATATTCCTATCCATAACTTCACCTGAATATCACTTGGGTATTCTAATTGGGATAAACGACCGCGACCCATTTCAACACGAAACACACACAGATGCGGACCACGAAAACCAATCACAGATAACATATGCTTCGGAAGTTAGAGTGCGGCCTAATTTTCGCGACGAATTCTGAAATTATCGTTCTCTTGGCCCAGTAAACAACAATGGCTGCAGTAAGGCAGGCGGAACGCCAGTTCCTCTCCAGAATCGCAGTATCTTATTTGCCATATGTTATCCTTGTTGATAACTTCCATTACCGCGTTGAGCTTCAACTCCGTATCAGGTAACTGGAAGCCAGATATTTTGCACCATGGCTGGCACGTCGTTCAGTTTACTCGCGAAGTTCGAACGAAAGATCGGTAACTTAGGATGACCCTTGATGAAATGCGATTTAGATAAGATCGAATGCATTAAGTCAACAATCAAGAATACGATGTAACCTTGTGGTTCGGCCCTCGTTCAGAAAATTCCTGGATGTTTGTAATTTGCATATCTGAACCCTGGCACCGTATACCTCGTGTTTCTCCACGAATCAAACACACACACACCGTATTAATCGCGTTTCCCTCGAAACTTCGCAGAGTATAAAATCTTCGGTCCTTTGAAGATCAAGTATTTAGAGATTCGTCAGTGATGCATCGCATAATCTTTGTCCTTACAGTCGTTGCGACAGCCGTACAGTGTTACGAATGTAAGTTTTACCGCTTACACACACATCTTATTACCGCTGGTAGTACTTTATGCAACCACTCCCTATTCGGACCCCGACGTCAAATTTTATTGTGTTTAGACTTATATACGTCGATCTCAAGGGTTCCTGTTGGACGAAAGTTAACTTTAAGAAATTTTTATGTATTTCATATTCCTTAATCAACAAAGGAATGGCACTTTGAACAGAACTGCTGTTAACACCGAAGATTACATAAATAAGTATGACGATGATTTACGAAGCCGGAGTATGTTGACAAATGTCTGCATCCTGTGGTGCGTTAAACCATAGTTATGGCTGGAAGAATGTTCAGTGCTTGTGCCTTCTTTAGTCCATAGAACTTTTGGATAATTCTGTATGATGTGGTAA